CCTGAGGACAGTAACAGGCTTAGGCCCAGAGGAGGGAGAAAAGAGAGGAACCCACAGGAGGCTGCCCTTGCCCTGTGTCCAGGGAAGCCCCTTTGGGGTTATCAGGCAGGGGATTCCTGACTTCTTCAGCAGGGTCTGAGGGACCTTAGGGTGTTTGAAGAAGGAGCAAGGAGCTCAGGAAAAGGGGAGACAGAGTCGCTGGCCCAGTCAAGATGAGAAATGAGGCAGGATTGGGTGAGGAGTTCCGGGACACATGAAGGATGGGACCCAGGCTGTTCGTTGTTTCAATCTGAGTGCTGTCCTGCATTCCCACCTAGAATCTGAGGGAGGAGGATTCACTTTCACAGTCTGGTAGAGCTGTTTCCAGGACTCAAGGGGAGGATTTACAGGAACATTGAGGGGACACTTGTCACTAGATCAGAAGGTAACCTCTATTAGGTAAGAGTGCCTGAAGGATGCAATGCACCTTTGTCCCTGGCTCTTGTTATGAGACAGGAGGGGGTCTTTGTCTGAGCAGTGTGGTCTCAGGTCAGCAGATCCATGTCATGGGAAGCCTGACCCTGCTGGAAGGCTGGGGCGGCCTCAGGCAGGACTGTGGAGAAGAAACAGACTGCCCGGTACTTTCACCTCAGCTGTGCTCAGGTGATGGTGGACTGGATTTGCCAGATGCATTTGCAGGTCAACATCGAGGAAATGTGAACACCCGGGCCTGCATCACACGAGGGAGGTCCTCTGGATTCTACTTCTCAGTCAGTCTAGGGAAGTCCTTACAGAAGTGTCCAAATGTGCCACATTTTGTCTCCCAGGTCTCAGGCAAGTGCCTTGCTGTGAGGATCTTCACCAGCTCACAGGAGGAGACACATTTGTCGGCAAAGGGAGTAGACCAGGGTCTGCTGGGAATCAACTAGAGGATCCCAGGTGAGCACTGAAGGTTCTTTCTTCTTATTGATGCGTGTTTGCAATTCATGATTATAACCAGTGTGAGATCTGGTACAGGGACATGGCACGTGTTAATTTTTTTTAAATCTCCTTTCCCTCTCTTCCCTCTCCATCCTTGCATCTCTTGGAATATATTCTACTGCATAATGATCACATTCCTCCTAGGGACTAATTTCCCTTTTGTATCTGATGTTCATTCTTCCACTTTTCCTCACTGTTTCCAACTCCCCTCCTTCCCAATATGCTGAAGGTCTCACTACTTAATATTAGTCAATTTTGCTGTTTACTTATATTTTGAGTTTTTAATAGAAGAAGAACCTTGTGATATTTAAGCTTGTGTGTCTCATTTAACATTTAACTCATTTAACATTGTGGTATCAAGGCTGCTGTTCTCAACATGGATTTGCCAGTATCACTGAGATGAGCTGTCCTGAATTCTCTCAGGAGGATACCTAAAAGATGACCAGCAGAGCTGGATGCTAAGTCTTGAGTTTACTAGTTTATCTTCCCCCACGCAGTGAAGAGGTGTTCATCTTTCCCCCACAGGCTGATTAGCATTTACTATTTACTGTGAATTGCTTCCCTTTATGGAGTCATTCTTTCAGGAGTGAGATGAAACCTCACTGTTATTCTATTTTGCATTTCTTGACCAGCCAGCAAGGTGGCACATTTTTCGTGTATTTATTGGCCATTTACACTTCTTCATCAGAGGAGTGTCATTTGCTTCAGAAGCCAATCTCTTGATTGGTATTTTATTTTTGGTGACTTACTTTTCTTCATATATTTTGAGTCCTTTGAGAAGCAATTGGCAATTTTTGTCTCTGTTTGTAGGTTGTCTCTTCACTCTGTTGGTTGTTTCCTTTGCCGTATAAATTTGATAAGATCCTGCTTGTTGATTCTTGGAATTATTTCTTACACAATCAGGCTTCTGTTCTGCAAAACGTTGCTTATGCCTATGTCCCCCAGAGGTGTACCTATTTTGTCTTCCAGACAATTGTTTCTGTTTTAAAATACAGATTTTTGATTCATTTTTATTTTAGCTTAGCACATGGTGAGAGATATGTATCGTGTTCAGTCTTCTACATGGGACTATCAAATTTTCTAATCACCACCTGTTGAAATATGAAAGTGTTTGACTCCCTCATCAATACACGGTGGCTGTGTTTGCCTGTAGTTGCTTCTGTTTCATTGATCCACAAGTCTGTTTTGTTTTGCTTTCTTTTGTTTGTTTTGTTTTGCCCATACCATAATTTTTTATGGAAAAAAGATAAAACAAAATCCTTTAACAAGATAATAGGAGAATAACAAGAGTTAATGCATTACACGTTATATTTAAAGTAGTTGCTCAGGGTACAAGCAACTACTTTATTTTTCCCATCAATAGAGCAAAAACCTTCCTTCTTAATGAACTAAGAGGCACTAATAGTATAACTGACTTGCATGTTTTCCCTTTTACCTAATGTCCATTCCCTTTCCCCATCCTAGTCCCTTTTTCCTATTGAACGATTTCATCGCATTTCACAGTATCTATTATATATTTTAGAACTTATTTACTCCTTCACCTTCTAACACCAGGGAGAAAATATGATGTTTACACATGTGAGTCTGATTTATTTGGCTTATGAGTATGCCCCTTTAGTAAACGGTGGTTGGAAAACCTTGTCTTTTTGATGATTTGTTGCATAGGTTTGTCAGAATCTTTCTGAAGACTGTACATTGATGTTCATTGAAGTGACTGGCCTGTAGTTCTCTTTTTGGCTGGATTTTTTTCTGATTTTAAGATCAGGGTAATGCTTGCTTCCAGAAATGATTTTGGGTACTCTGCCTCCCATTCAACTTAGCTGAAGAATTGAGGAGTATTATCATTAACTCTGCTCTCAAGTTCTCCCACAATTCAACAGTGAATCCTTCTATTCCTGGGATTTGGGGTAGTTATTTTTTAAATATAAATGCTTCAATTTTTTTCACTGATGTTGGATTGTTTAGAAAGTTTTGTAGCATTTTTCAACTTTAAGAGTTCATTGTATGTTGAGGTATTTATACATATCTTTTGAATTTTCCATTTTATTAGGTTCTTAAAATAGATATGAATGAGTTCAGGATTTCAGTGGAGTCCATTGTGATTTTGCCTTTAACATTTCTAATTTCTTTGGTCTGGCTGTATTTTTTCCTTATTTGTGTAAGAATTGCTAGATTTGACATTTGACAATTTTGTTTGTTCTTTTAAAGAACCAACACATATATATATATATATATATATATATATATATATATATATATAATCTGCAAGTCCTTGAATAAGCAATGCCTAGATTTTCAGATCCAGAGCAGCTCAGACTGGGTTTGCCTTCTGGCTATCAGGGCAGGGCCTGTGCTCTGCTTAAAACCTGTCTCTAGAATTCTTTTCATTAGTGTGCATTTGCAGTACGTAATGATCGAATTCATCCTGAGAGAATTGTATGTGTACATAATTCATCCTAATTCTTTCTTGTCCCCACCCCCATCACTCTTTTACCTTCCACATTTACAAACCTTTATTTCTATTTCCCTTCAGTTCTTTTCTTTAAATCCCTTTTCCTTTCTTCCTCAATCAGCTCCCCCATCCCTTTTTCCCCTTTTTATAGGAACAAATTCTTTCTACTTCCTTGTATTTATGCTCCATTTTGCTCTTTTGTATACTGTAGGTTTCTCACACAAGAAAAACACTGATCTTTGAACTCCTGTATCTGATTTATTTCACTTAAGATTATGCTCTCAAGATCCATTCATTTATCTAAAAATATCTCAAGTTTATGGCAAAGAAGCACCGCGTTGTGTACAAATGCCACATTCTCTTTATTCCTTGATCTCTTGATGGGCATATGTGCTGTTTATAGCAGCACAATTTGTGGTAGCTAAATCTTGAAAGTAATCTCCACAGTTTGCAAGATTTGTGTCTGTTCCTTTGTTCCTTCCACATTCTGGGTGCTCTACTTCTCTTTCTCCTTTTTGTCCTGACTCTCAGTTGTGATTTTCCAGAGTGTCAATTCCAAATCTTGGAGACGCTGAATTGCGACTGGTCACCACTCTGCTATTTTCCAGCACTGAAGGTTTGAAGGTAACCCATGGCCATAAACAAAAGGGGCCCACAGGTCCTGGCTTTCCCTCTTATCTGTTTAGTGTTCCTGGTGAGGGTGGCTACATGTAAACTGCTGAAAATTCTATTAAGTGGTTGCAGGTAGAAGAACTCATAGAGTGGTGGACCTTGTTCCAAAGGTGACCACAAATCAGTAGCGGGAGTCACATATGATTAGTAAATGAGGACCCCAGGAGTTGACAGACCCAAGATATGGGTCTTTTCTGAGGACTGAGGGTATCTCTAGCCCAGAAACAACAGATCCCTCAGAGTCTTCTGTTCTCCAGGTCAGCCCTAGGAATCTCTAGTTGGCATGCTCACTTCCACGGTAAGGCAGAAGGGAGTCTTCCAGGAGATCAGACTATGGGAGATCAGCTCATCTCGAGGGCAGTCACCAAGAGGAAAATTGAGAAACTACAGAAGTACATAGGGGATGGATTACTTCTGTTCTCATTGCGAAGACACAATACCTGATTTCTGCATTTTAGTGGAAGAAAAGTTGATTTGGGTTCACAATTTATAAGTGTCAGTCCAGAGTTATCCATATCTAAGGCAAAACAGCAGAGTGGAAGATCTTGATGGGAAGAAAGCTGCTCACCACAAGTCCTGTAGGAAGCAGAGGATGAAGGGATATCCAGGAGGGAAACATAACCAGCCCTGTCACACCAATAGCATCTCTCTCTAGAAAGGCCCCAGCCCCTAGCAGCATGTCAGCTGTAAGCCCTCCCCCAAAATCCATTCACCTCCTAGAGGTCTTTTCTATGATCGCATGGGACTTTGGGGGAAATCTAGACTTCAATAATAACAGGGGTTGGCATCACAGGCAAGATGGTTACAGATCTTGCTGCCAGCACTGATGCTCCCATGTGGGGGTGGAATGATGGATGCCTGCTGACTTCTTTGGAGAATCCTGAAGATCTCAGGGAGGTGAGGCACTCCACCTGAGATGGCGTCTTCAGATAGGCACAGGGAACCCCACCTGGTCAAGAGACTCAGGGTTCCTGTATCTGCCAAGGGTCAAGGTGGGGACCATAAGGGAGGATTTAGGGTATACCTGAACACAGACAGCTGTGGTCTTCTGACATCCGACCTGTGCATGCTGTCATCCCAGGCAGCCTACACAGGGTTGTCAGGCTGAGGCTGCTCTCTTGGATCTGTATAATTGGTCCCAGTGAGGTGAAGGCCTTGGGACAAGAGGACTGGAATCAGGACAGTAAGAGTAGGAACCCAATGTCTATTAAGGGTCTAGGTAAGGCAGAGGGAACTCACTCACCTGAACACAAAGTATTCTAGCCTCAATCTGTCCCTTTGCTCACCTGTAGTTAAACCCAGGTGGACTCCTGTTCCCCCACTTCCTCTTTCAATGTATCACACATATAAGGCTCTTTTTAAAGAAAGTGGCCCCTAATCATTGCAGGGAGAGTCATACAACTAACCATTTGTTGAGATAAAGACGGAACAGATTTCCTTTCCTAGGACACATGGATCTCATTGAATTTTTCCATGCCACCTTACCAGATGTGGGTCCCTTTGGTGTCTTTTGTTACCTATCAAGAGGGAGAGACTTTTGCTGAGATTACCAGAGCCTTGAGTAAGCACAGAGTTGACCATTCATTCTAAAACTATGCAACCTAGAGCATCCCCTAAAGAGAAGACCTATAATGGGCCTTTGTGGAGGGTAACAAGTGTGTTGTTCTCAGCTGAGAACACTAATAGTCTCCCTGTCTCCTCCAGGCATCTGAATCCTCAACAAGCTCTTTCTGTCTTCAAGGAACATCATGGTGCCCTGTAATCAGAAGAGAAAGAACAACAGATCAGGGGAAGGCCTTCCCGCCCAGGGAAACACACAGGTCTGCATGAGTGCACCTGTTCTCCAGGATGGGGTGGGGGAAGCAGGAGCCACTGCTTCCTATGCATCTTTTTTCTCCTGTACTATAATTGAGGCCACATCAAGCCAAGGGCTGGGGTTTGGGATACCAATTTGTTCTCAGAACCCTTGGGGCGTTTTCCCTCCCCTCACTGCCATAGGGCCTAGTCAAATTAGTGGATTTATACAGAGTTCTAGCAGGCAGGAAGTGGAAGGTCAGAACCACTCAGATACCAACTTGCCTGACATCCTGCGCCATGTGTTTCTAAATGATAAGTTAAATAAATTGGTACCATTCCTGCTCCGCAAGTATCAAAAGAAGCAGCAGGTCACCATGGAAGAAATGATGCACATTGTGGATGAAGATTACCGTGAGCACTTCTCCCTGATCTTCAGGGATTTCTGTGAGTGCATGTGTCTGGGCTTTGGCATTGACGTAAGGGAAATATATCCTCTTAGCCGCACGTATGTCCTTGTCCCCTTATTGGGCCTCACTTATAATGGATTACTGAATGATGATGATGATGATAACTTTCCTCAAATCAGTGTCCTGATAGTCATCCTGACCATCATCTTCATAAAAGGCAACCGTGCTAGTGAGGAAGACATAGCAGAAGTACTAAGAATCAGGAGGATGTTAGCTCAAAAGGATAATATTTCAATTGGGGAGCCCTGGAAATTCATCACTGTGGATTTGGTGAGGGAACAGTACCTGGAGTATCAGCAGATTCCTAATAGTCACCCTCCTCGCTATGAGTTCCTGTGGGGCCCAAGGGCCCATGCTGAAACCAGCAAGATGAAACTCCTAGAGCATTTGGCCAGGCTTCATAGAAAAGATCCCAGATCCTACCCAGTTCTGTATGATGAGGCTTTGAGAGAGGAGCAAAGTATGGCCAGGGCCCCTGAATGGGCAATGTGGATGCCAGGCCCATGGAATGTCCCAATACCACCTCGCTAGTTTAACTCCCACCCCAGGAGAAGTGAGGCCTCGTCTTCAGTCTCTGCTCAAGGAGACCAGGCTGTTTTCTAGGCAGTGATGGCTAGAGGAGGATTGCAGAAATACAGTGCCTTCCACCTTGATCTCTGTTTCATTGAGGTTATTAAGAAACTAACGCTTGCTTTCTCTATGACTTTTTTAAAAACTTGTTGCTTTTTTGCAAGATTGAAGTAGCTTGCACATCTTCTTTGCACAGTGGTGTTGATGTTAAATACAATTTTAGTTTTGCGATAAAGATGTTTGATGGTGCTTTCTGATGTCAATGTGATTTTGTGTCACATTGATTACAAATGGATATTGCTTTTCCATTCCAATGTAAGCCTTTCCTTTTTGTGAAGCAAACTGAGAAAGCTTTCATTTTATTTGTGATTTTAAAAAAATGTTGGAATAGAAAATTTCTTGTAATGTGTAATAAGCTTAAATCAAGTAAGCTGGAGTTCAGAAATACAGACTGAAAATCAACTCTTAGCTTCTTATTCCTTTCCCCATTGTTCTATATTATTAAAATATATGCATACCTGAATACGCTTGACTTCCTCTATCACATTAGGGAAATTTACGGTCAGCCAAGGACCTCATCTGCTCAGGGGCACATTCACCTCTAAACTTCTATTGCACACATGCCGTGTGGAAGGAAGGCCCTGTGTCTGTGGTTGGAGATACGAGTATACTACATGGAGCAGAATCAAATCTGCCCCATGAGATGGATATCAAGCATACCACAAATATCAGGAAAATGGAGAGATGTTATCAGAGCAATAAAGGGCATGAAAACGTGCAATGCGGGGGTGGACTGTAGCAGGGAGCAGCCACAGGTAAGTGCTGAGCCATAGAAGTTGGAGGCTCGAAGGAACTTCAGCTGCTTTGGCAGGGGTTGATTATAATGCAGCTGCAAGGTGGTCTGGGCTGGACTCTCAGGTGAGGTGTCCTAGGTCTGAGAAGATGGAAAACTACTCTGATAGCGCTTGTAGATGGTGGGTGAAGCTGGGAGGACTCTCTTGATGAGAAAAGTGATCCTACTCAGGGAAGGAGCCAGGACATTTATGCCCAGCATCTTCAAAGATTCCTGAGAAAAAAGGGAGACGCTCAGATGAAGGCCATTATGTCCCTGACTGGCTTCTCCCCTGTCTGTTCCAAGTATCCATTTAGCAGGGTTGTGCAGTGCCCAGATGACTACCTTTCTGGGACAGCTTCTCCTCACGCGTCCAGTTTGCCTCAACACTCTTACAAGATGGACATGAGGATCCAGCCAGTTGCTTTAGCCAGTTACACACTTGGTCAGATGACGTCTGAACAAGTGGTTCTCCTCCAGAGCCCCTTCTCACTGTTGGCAAGTGCCTTCCACTGTCCATTAGCAGGATGAAATCTGGGCCAGTTTTCAACGATTCCCTTTCTGAAGGAAGTTGATGCTGGGATGTGAGAATATGTAAGCTTGCTTGAAATTTCTTGGGCCTGCATCTGGGCTGAGCTAGGGTTTTATGCCCTAGCTGGCAAGGGTTTCAGGCCTCATTGTCACAGAGGCCTTATAGGCCCCAAGGTTAGATTTTTGGTGATGCTGATGTGATTGAAAATAGTTCTTCCAGTCAAACAGAAGCTTACAGGGAGGGAAATATGGTTCTTCACCCAAATTCCAGGAGCTGTGAATCAGTCAGCCTCAGAAGGGACAGATCCTCCACTACCTAATCAAGTAATACATCCTATTGGAGAGAACATATTGGGGGAAAGTTTATTAAGTAGCATTTCTGCCTGATTTTCTATTCAGTTTCCTAATACACTGAAACTTCCCTGGGAAACACACAAATTTTCCAGTAAAAGAGTGATAGAGTCTGAGGTTAAAGTAATAGTAGAACCAGCTGCTTAACATCATTTATTCAATATATGCCAGAAATTTTATACAGTATATGTCAGAAATTCTACTAAGTGGTTTAATATATTTCTTAGATTCCACTGCTCCTACGACCATAAATGTGTTAACAGACCCATTTTATAGATGAACAACCTGAGGCCTACTGCTCATGGGAACTTCTCAGGATCCCCTTGTAGTAAAGGCCAAGGCCAGGAATAAACTCCCAGTGTGAGATCACTTAGAGGCCACCCAGTTCCTACTCCTCTCACTTTGAACCCAGCTGTGCTATTGAATTGATTTCCATATTTAGAGAAAATTTTAAATTACCCCTCAGAGTGTAGAAAGCCCCTGTTCTGAGGTTCTGAAACTTGACCTGAATTAACGATGTAAAAATGAGCAGGTGATGGGTGCACCCCACTCTCAGGGGAGCTGCCCAGATTCACCTACCACACCTCGGCCATACCAGGCAGAAGGACCAGCCTGTTCCTTTGCTCATCTTGGAAACCCTCCAACAGGAACAACATTTTAGACATAAAATTTAACTTTGGACTATCCTGGGTAGACCCTGAATTCTGTGCCTGACAGGAAAAACAATACACTCTCAACGACCCCCCCAAACCCTCCCAAGCGAGTGGTGAGTAGTATGATAAGCAGCAAAATCTATTCCTTGACTTGGCAGGTAAATTAGGATATTCTTTGCGTCCATCTTGACATTTTTGCAGGCTTTTAATGGAGGGAGCTACTAGCTTAAGTACGTGGCCAGATCCACAGTTCCATGACAAACTGCAGGTGAGACAGGACCACGGTCACCATAGTAGAGCAAAGAAAGCCATCTGCTGGGGCTGAGTTCTTCCAAATCCTGAAGTCCTCTGAGTATGTGCTAAGTGCTTCTTTGTTGACTTCAGAAGAAAGACAAGAAGTACCCTCTGTGTCGTGTTTCTGGCCTGTATCCCTCCCTGCAGGAATGTCCTGGTTTTCAATATGCATAATGGCGCTATTCCTGATGTTTGGACAAGGACAGTCATGTGTGCTGTAGGAAAAACTCAAAAGGTAGCAGACTGATCATGAATCCAAAGACAGGAGAAAATTCTCAGCCTGGAAGATTCAGGTGACTCGGAAAGTACTGGCAAGTGCTAACGGGTGAAGAACAAGAACCCCTCCTGCTAATATTTTACAATATGCAAATGAGGTTGATTCAGTGTCTCAAGCTTTTGTCTCATAGTAAATGGCAGTAGAAAAAGCTGCACAATTTCCAGGTCAATCACATGTTCTCAAAGGCTCCTCCCAGTCAAGAAAAGAAATGTATCTTAAATCCTACTCTCTATTTTTGGTTGAGCATCTACATTGTGACCACTTATGTTGACACTACAAGTCTTGTCACACAGCTTTTCATCCCCATTTGTCTAGATCTGGGCCATTTGCCTTACACTGCCATCTCACCTTGTCCAAGTGGACAAGGGCCATTATTAGGAGCAGAGGGGAAGGGAAGGAAGCACAGAGAGAACATGTGGACCTCACCCCTGCCATATCACTTCCCATAGCCCTCACCTCATTCTCCTCCAAACCACTTCCCAGTCTCCTGCGGCTGATGGCATCTGCAGAGTAGGTCACTTCTTTGCGGATAGAAGAGGAAATGTTAATTATGAACTTAACAGAAAAACTTTTGGTTAAGTTGATTGTCTCTAAAAGAAAACATCTAAATTTTGCAGTTCCCAGTTTCTTTGCCAGTCGCAGTGGCTCACAGGGCAGTGGAACACAGCCCTCTCTCAGGGTTCTGAGCCCCTGCTCTCTATGCCCTTTCCAGGTTACAAAGAGTGACCTCACCTGTTACCCCAGAAACCAGGCAGGGGATCCCCAGACATATGCAAGTGTATTGTGGGGACATCTCTTCAGTTCGTAACACATAAGAGCATCACTATCTACTTAGATCATGGGGGTCGAATGGTGACTCCTTTCTAAAGCTCCTGACAGTAAACATCAAGGACAACAAAACCCACGGGTGAGATGAGCTCAGTCCTAAAGCACTGGTCTAGTAGGCACAAGAGCCAGTGTTCAAAGGATCCATCCCTAGCACTGAAAAAAGAAGTGTCCAGTTGCGCACTAAAGCATAAAGTTCACTAAGACTTTCATTGATTCTCATGATGGAAGTACTCTCCATGAAAACGAATATACTTAGAAAGCTCTGTCCAATCGGACTCAGTCACCATTTGTTACCACTTACTACTAAAATGCGGCTAGTGTTACTGAGAAATTTCAATTTTAGTTCAATTTTATATAGTTTAAACTCCAGATGGTTAAACCTTACTGGACAGCACAGGTGGAGACGTTCAGATTCTAAACATATGGGGCAGGAAGTACAAATTCCCATACAAAGCACAGGAAGTGGTAAGAAATGGGGGCACTCCAAGCCTTGGTTATTGTTTCCTGTCTTCTATTTACTGCTGGAAGGCAAGGACAATACATCTATAATGTATTTTGCAGAGGAAGATGACAGCCCATCCTTGCAGATTGTCACTTTCTAATACTTTCTGGTATGCAACCCACTTGCACTTTGAAGTAGTTATTCCACTGTTACGGAGGACCAGCAGCTCCTGGGTTGGTCCAATATGCTACACCAATGTTGGATCTCCTATCAATGGATCAATGCCTTGGTGTATATCAGATTGGGGCTCAGGTGATCATACAAAATATCCTGAATTTGTAAATCCAGCTGCCTTGAAGGATTCTGTTAGTGCCAGACAAATTACAACAAGCAAGTTACTCAGACCCTTCCTTGACACATGTACAATTTCCAGTTAAGAGAAACCTCCGGCCCCTCTGGAAGTTAGTCATCCACACATGGCAATGTTGAGTCCTTGAGAAACGTTGTCATGATGGATACTCAGCACTGGTCCTTGCTTCTGGTAAGGTTAAACATGAGAGCATCAGTAGTTGCTCAATGACTAGAATCCCACACTGGTGACCCAGAGCGTACATTCCTTCCACAACAGCTACTCCACACGTCATGCCTTTGTGTAACACTGACGCTGTCAGCGACAAAGGCTGGCAGATATCAACCTCTGAGCTCATTCTGTCTCGATTGTTCAGCACCTCTTGGTCATGAATCCCCTTGTGA